TTTCTTGACAAAGTGACATTGGCACCTACTGGCCTGACATGAATAATGCAGCTGGGATTTGTTGGTAATTTTTACAGTGACTGACTTGATAAAGTTAGCATTTGCAACTTTTCAAAAACATAAAGAAAAGACTTTTCAGCTTCATACAACATCAAGTTTGTGCTTATCTGTAAGGATTGCAGGACTGAAATAACAATCATTTAAGCATTGTAAAAAGTATATATTCTAATAAGAGGGATAGTAAAACCTAAACAAAAAGTCTGTCATAATTCACTCACTCTGCCCTTGTTTCGAAGCTGTTTAAGTTTCTTTCTTCTTTTGATCATTAAAAACAGTATCTTTTCTCAACTATAGAAAAATATTTTTAATATACATGACAGATTTATTTATTTATTGCAGTTTTGGTGAACTATCCTTTCAAAATACAATTATTAATTGCAATTTTTCTAAGGGATTTCTGATAAACTCTAGATTTTTGGCAAAAACACTGCTCTATAGCCATATTAAAAATAGAAGTGAATAGCCATTCGGGTGCATTGAGATCAGAATCTTATTTTCATTAAGTGTTCAAGTGATAAATAATAAATAACTAAACAGGGGGAAGCCATTTGTCAGTGATATTGCAATTTATGACTGATGTGGCAGGTCTGTGGTTTTCTATCATCACTACACAATGCACCTGAACATGGACACACCGCCTGGGGTGCTGACTCTATAAATGGGAATGTCTGTTTTATCTGCTTTGCAACAGAGAACTGGTATTGACAAACACCTTGTTTCCTGAACCAGAATCAATGTGCACTGAGAGGCCCTCGGTTGTGTCATCAGGGAATGAAACAATGACTAAACTTTGGCCAGCAAGATGTGCTGTTTTTATATTAAAAGTTCATTTAAATGGTTACATTCACAATTATTCATTTAGTGATATCGCTTAATGACACATTTCTCATCAGAACAAATTGTTGCTGTTACTTTTTAAGATTTTAAGAACTAAATTGCCCATGGCCTGAATAGACTACTTGCACAGAGCTTCGTTAAGCTGCTTTTTAAAAAGTGCAACTTCAGTACTTTCCTGTTGTGAATATTTTCAAAGTGTTTTAGTAATTTATTGTCATGTATTAGTAACCTAATAAGTGACAATTAGGGCCAGTACACACCAAGCTGATGGTCACACACACAAGTCGACTCTCATCTGGTTAACATTGGAGCTCCTTGGCCCAATTCAGTGTTGAATTGGCATCGAACCACTGGATGAAGGGAGCACTTTGATTGGTTATTCAGCAATGAATCAGAGCACGAGTGTGAAGTAGTGAAATAACATAGCAAGTAAACAATTCAAGCCAAGAAGGAACCAAAGAATTCTGGCTGTAAATTGGCTACATTTCTCAAATATTTGTCAACTATATGGATTATTAGATTATCAGACATATTTGCACGAGCAAAACCCTCCGTAGTGAGTGACAGTTACTTTGATAATGGTACTAAAAGCTGTTTTGTTTACATTTTGTGCCAGTTGGAAGTTCAGTTTTCCTTTGCACAGAACGCTACTCTCTTTCAGTCGGCTTTTGTCCGTTTGGTGTGTTCACGTGCAACAATTTATTCCACATGTGATCCAACGCGAGACGACCAAGAATTATTGTATAACAGAAGATTTAAAAATGCAAACATTTGGCAATAGCCGCGAGTCATCCTTTCACATTCTATAAGCTCCAATATGAACTAATAGTAATATCAGTCGGCCGTGCCGCAGCAGGATTACTATAACATGATAAACAGAATTACTAATAACGGAACATTAATCAACTTACAGTCATGCACGCACGTTTACCACTCATCAATATGAGGAGAAAAGGAAAATGAAAGCAAACTAGACCATCACTGACAGATTGCCGTCAGTGTTCTGAACCCACCCATCTAGAGCGAGTGCACATCAATACGTCTGTTTAACACTCAATAAGGAATTTAGTACAATATAAATACTACAGCACTGTTAGCGCTTTACGGTTTATGACTAAATTAAATAGTGTATTTTAACATAGCTAAATTATTTTATGGAACACACCACATTTGTTTAATTGTTTTTAAAAGTATGCAATATTGTAGGGAGTGTTAATTATCTACTGACCTAAAATCTTTTCCTAGCATAATCTTTTCTTTTAGCTATTTGAAAGACACTTTAAGAAACACTGACAATTCCGCTTAACTTAATATAACTTAACATAAGAGTAGGCTATACAGAACAGACAGCGACCCAACATCACAGCGATAACGTTAGTGACAACAGTGGTGTGAACAGTGTGAAATATGTATACGTAATATCTAACGTTGCTACAACATTAAGTGAATATTTTATTGACATTTACATATTTATTAAGTTATTTTAAAACCGCTTAGGTATAGGCTATATGATAGGCTAGCCTATGTGATAAGATTTCTATGTGACCTTAAAAATAACTTTGAAAATAATTAATTATATTTTATTTTATTTTATTCAATTTCCTACCTCTGAAAATGGCGTTTTGTCTTTTGGACTCAGTTGCTGTTTCCTGGACTAATGTTACAATCAAGAAAAAGGTATGCACGAAATATACAATGTGAATAGTGTGATTTGATTAGAAAACGAACCAATCATGTAGTGCCATTGTCAAACAAACTGCACTTTTGAAACGGTTCTTTTCAGAGAATTGAAACACGTGAATCACTCTCAGAAACAAAGGAATAATATTTGACTCTTTGAAAGGTCCTTTGTGTATGAATCATCTCTCTCAAATAAATCCTTAATTTTTTCATGTCTAATTCCAATAAATATATGAACTAATGACTGAGATGTTAGAGCTAATTATATATTAATACTGATTTGCGGTTGACAAAATGGGTTTGAAGATTTAGTCTTTGACAGTGGTTAAAAGTAACAAATTACAAATACTCAAACTATTGTAATTTGAGTAGTTTTTCTAAGGAATTAAAATTTACTAAGTAGTTTTAAAAACGTGTACTTTCACTTTCCCTTGAGCACATTTTTAGTGCAATATCGGTACTTTACTCCTACTATTTTCATTCAAATTGCATACTTTATTATTTCTTGTCTATAGGGATTGGCTGAGAAGAAAAATCAGTCCTGTGATTCCTGTCCAATCAAATTGTACATAGAAACTAAATAGCATCCTTTTGAACAACCTCATGATGCTTTATAAAGGCAGCAAACCGTTTTGAAACATGAAAAGTGTCCAACAAAATCTTTAAATGAAATGACCCAGAGACTGTTTAGACTACCCAAATGGCCTTAAACAATCACTAAATTCACTACAGAATGTTACGTTTTCACACGCTCACAAATTGCAAGTAAACACATCAGGTGTTCACAGCGCAATACTTACTACTCATTACTTTTGAGTATTTTTAAGGGGCTACTTTTTACTCATAGATTGAGTAATATTTACAACAGATACTTTTACTATACTTGCACTAATGTCTTGCACTTGCATCTTTTGAATGGGATGTTAAACCGAGGTCCTGACTCTCTTTGGTCATTAAAAATCTGGTGTGTGGTCTGGCACAAAATGGCTGCCGTCGCATCATCTAGGTGGATGCTGCACACTGGTGGTGCATGAGGAGATTCTCCCCTATGTGTAAAGCGCTTTGAGTGCCCAGAAAAGCGCTATATATCAAGTACTGTTCAGGTCCTAATGAATTGGTTCAGGTGTGTTTGATCAGGGTTGAAGCTGAACTCTGCAGGAAGGTATAGTCTCTAAAATTTGATGATTTCAAAAAGTTACTTTTTTTCCTTATTGTTGTTAAAGTCTGATCCTAATTTCATCATATCATGTGGCATCAAGAGCAAATATAATATAGATTCTATTTCTTGAATCTAGCTAAAAAAGCGATGGATACAGTTTCAGGTGAACCATGTTCATTAAAAACACTCATTCCTGCCCAACATACAAATATAATATAGAATAGATATGTGGATGTGATCACTGATTTAGCACAATAAATATACAATGCGAATAGTGATTTGATTAGAAAACAAACTAATCGTGTAGTGCCACAGTCAAACAAACTGCACTTTTGAAACAGTTCTTTCTAGAGAATCGAATCGTGCAAATCACACTCAGAAACAAATGAAACTCTTTGAAAGGTTCTTCATGTCTCTTACATACATAAATACTTAATTTTTCATGTCTAAATCCAATAAATATATTAACAAATTAACTCAGACGTTAGAGCTAGTTATATATTAATACTGATTTGCAGTTGACAAAATGTATTTGACGATAGACTTTATGAGTCTTTTATGTAGGCTACTTTAATGAATAACCATAGTGTGTTAATTGTTTAGAGCAGGAGGTGACCAAAACTGTTCCTAGAGATCTACCTTCATGCAGACTTCAGTTGCAACCCATATCAAACACACCTGCCTGTAATTATGCAGTGCTGTTCAGGTCTTAATTAATTGGTTCAGGTGTATTTGATCAGGGTTTGAGCTAAACTCTGCCGGAAGGTGGATCTCCAGGAATTGGGTTGAGCACCCCTGATTTAGAGTCTCTAAAATTCGATGAAAAGTATCTCAAAAACTAACAAAAACGTTCTTTGTTAAAGTCTGACCCTAAATTATAATTTCATCTTATTACGTGGCATCAAGAGCAAATATAATTTAGATTTTATTTCCTGAAACTAGCTAAAAAGCGATGGATACAGTTTCAGTTGAACCAGGTTCATTAAAAAAAACTCATCCCTGCCCAACATACAAATATATAAGTAGCTAGATATGTAAATTTGATCAACGACTTCAGTTCACTGAAATGACAATAATGACAGACAAACAAATACAAACGTATCAAACGACATATTTTTAAAAAGACTGAAAGAAGTTAACGACAACCTAATGTAAATATCGCCTCCACCAAAACGTAAGCAGGCATTCCATTCTGAGAGGATGGCAGTGTAAACCTGTGTAACAATCAGTGTGCCAATGAACGTGAATAAGAACATAAGCTTACCAGCATCAGATCCGCGGAGCGCAGCTACAAGTGCCCTCAGCTCCATCACCGCAATAGCGCGCAGGAACGCAGAGAGTCCTTCACTATTCCTCACATTCATTCACCTGCGACTGGATGGCGATTTTCCATTCCTGCCCTGCCCGTGTTTTGAAAATATGTTTCTTTTAAGCGAGTAAGTACATCTGTCTGTCTCTCTCGCGCGCGCGCTCGCTCTCTCGGATACAGCACCAAAATGGTTAATGCACTGGAGAGATTGCGGGTGCTGAACACAAATACCCAGTTTCAAACTGAGTACGACAGGTTAGATCACCAGAGGGGGGCCGAGAGTCACTGTCTCAGTAATTAGGAAACATAAATTATTAAATATGTCACATTACGCTTCTTAACACAATGATAGTATAGGGTCAGCAGCTTGGTTTGTGGGGATTTTAATGAGGACTGTCTTATCTGGGAATATTAGCTTTGGGTAAGTGCGCGTAAAATCTCACACACGCAATTAGATTAAATGCAGAGCCTGTTCAAATGGTTTTGCTGGAGAAGGAAGTTTCAAACCAATTGGAATGGTTACTGGAGGCGATCAGTCTATAGTTGAGTTATCGTTAAGACTTTGCACGTCTTTATGGAAATTGGAATGAAGTACGTTTTTGTACTTCGTATTCTTTTTTATTATTCTTCTTTTTATTCTTCTTTATTTATTTATTTATTTATTTATTTATTTATTTATTTATTTATTACTGACAATGTTTCTACAATCATTATAATAATTAAGTTGATAAACTATGCTTAATAAGAAGCTATGCATGCTTCTTATAATGTTTTTTAATTAGATCAAGACAAACACATTTGCATTTGTGGAATTTTTTTAAATAAAGGTAACAAAACAGTTTATTTATTTATTTATTTATTTATTTATTTATTTATTTATTTAATAATTATTTTAATTACAACAAATCATAAAATTTCAATGGTTGCAATTATGTTAACCCTTGTGTATCTTTTTACAGGTATTGTAACCCCATGGTTGATCTTCAATGCTTAGGTCTTAATTTAATTTAATTTAATTTAATTTAATTTAATTTAATTTAATTTAATTTAATTTAATTTAATTTAATTTAATTTAATTTAATTTAATTTTATTTTATTTAATTTAATTTAATTTTATTTTACTTTATTTTATTTATTTTATCAAATGTATAATTACATTTAAAAAATAATAATTTGTTTGATGGTTTATTGTTGATTGTTTGATTAATTTACTCTTGTTTCCTTTCAGAAATCTATTTTACACTCAGTAAAAAAATATTTGTTAAAGTCAAAACCTTCAGGACAAAATATTCATATTGAAACCCTTTAAAACTGTATTGTAGGTTGTATCTCAGTGTCATTTAAGCAAGAAAGTCCTACATTCTTTGAAAATCTTCTATTTTCATGGCAACATTCCTCAAGTTTTGCCCATGGAGCATATCCATTTGCCCATGGAGCATAAATATACTTTTTTGAGCACTTCAGGGAATTAAATTAAAATAATGTAAGTGTGTTGTTAAATCTGACTTTGTTTTCAACAAACTGAGAAATGTGTATGTGATTATTTTATTATATTGATAATGCATTATTTAAAAACTATAATAAATCAGTTTAATCAATAATACAGGATATTGTAATAATCAAAATATATGCTTATATGGAAAATATATTATTAGTATATCTTATATTAATATTGTATATACATTATTATATAGTGCTGTCGCCCCACAGCAAGAAGGTCGGTGGTTTGAGCCTTGGCTGGGTCAGTTGGCATTTCTGTGTGGAGTTTGCATGTTCTCCCTGTGTTCGCGTGGGTTTCCTCCGGGTGCTCCACTTTCCCCCACAGTCCAAAGACATGCGGTACAGGTGAATTGGGTAGGCTAAATTGTCCATAGTGTATGAGTGTGAATAAGTGTGTATGGGTGTTTTCTAGAGATAAGTTGGAGCTGGAAGGGCATACGCTGCGTAAAACATATGTTGGATAAGAAAATAGAAAATAGATTTTAAAATAATGCATTCTTACCATCAGAACTTTTGCCAAAAAAGATATCTCTGTCAGTAAAAGCACAACAAATATTAATATACAACACTTCTATAAGTATCTTTGAGTACATTTACATTTGGTCATTTAGCAGACGCTTTTATCCAAAGCGACTTACAAATGAGAACAAGGAAAGTATCTATGAGTATCTTTTTTTTAATTGACACATAAAGGTTAAGCATTTCTCATAGAAACAAATAAAGAAGCTTTATTTAAAAGACATTCAACAACAATTGTTTTCCCTATCCTTTATTCCACAAATGTCCTTAATTAAGCAGTTGGTAAGTTGTCCACTGTAGTTGTTTTGTTTGACCCATTATTTCACCAAATTGTTGAAAATTGGGCAATAGTTAACTTTTAATTGGAGAATCTTTCTTGCACAGAGACAGAAACTGAAGCGCTATTCTATTTGGTCATCATGTTTTGAATAAGTATTGAGTTGCATATTTAATGAATTAGTTTTGTTTAAGAAAGAAAATATTGTTTTGGTTACTAGGGTTTCCCAGGATCCACCACACACTGCTCCGGGCAATCCTGAAGAGAAAACACAGACGTGCTTTCTTTCTTTAAAAAAACAAACAACAACAACAACAACAAAAAAAACTACTTCTCACTCCAGGCAAGATCACAAAATTCGGCTTGCATTCAGGTCACAAATTGGAGTGACTAAACAACAACAACAACAATATGATATAAATTAATAAATAAAAGTGTAAATGCATAAATGTGTAATACAATGTGTAGGTATATTAAATAAATAAATAATGAAAATATGTATAATAAATAAATAAAAATGAAAACATCAACCCAGATTATAATCACAATAATAATAATACTTAAGCCAGTCAAAAAAAAAAAAAAACACACGATGCAAAATTGCTCTAGCCATCAACCAACGATGGCACACCGGCCTCTAAACGTTTAATCTAAACAAATTTGCATCGTGTTTTTTTTTTTTTTTTTTTTTTTTTTTTGACTGGCTCAAGCTGATGATTGACAGACAGCCTCTTTCTTATTTCTTTTCAATATTTTCCTATTTCTCCAACATTGGTGTAATGTACTTGATCATTTATCAGGCCGCACTATTGATTGTTTCTATATTTATTTATGCAGGAATTGAGGGATTCCTCGATCGTTTCCTGATCGGTCGGCAGAGGTCATGGCAGGAGTGTTAGTAGTTAACGACAGAAGGATTTTCACTTTTGACTCAACTAATCCCATCTGAAAACTGAGGGGTCACGAATTCTTTTTCCTTTTGCCCTCAAATATGACACGTGTAATGACAATGATGACAAAAAATTCATATATAGAAACAAACATAAAAACACATCAACTCCTTGCTAGGTTGCTATCGAAAATCCAGCATGTAATACACATTTAAAATAAGGAATATTAAACACAAATGATTTTAATACAAATCTTTTCATTCCAAAAACTCGCAGCAGATGCCCTTCCAGCTGCAACCCTGAGAAACACCCATACACTCTAATTCACACACATACACTACAGACAATTTTAGCTTACCCAATTCACCATATTTTTGGACTTTTATTATTATTATTATTATTATTATTATTATTATTATTATTATTATTATATTAAGTGCATTATATAGGTACATTACAAAAGCAATGTAATAATGAATAAAAGTGGCAATAATAAAAATAACATCAGTGCTTGCTGATGATAAAATGGGTGAAATATATAATGCTGTTTTCCTGTCCCTTGTCTCAAAGATCAAAGAATGTTTTTGCTGTAATTCCACTAGTGACCACTAGATGTCAAACACGGCCAAGACAAAAAAATCTTTCTTTACGGAAGTATCGCGAGTTTCTCTTCGACGTGAACTTCCTGGAACAGTTGTTTGGATAATGGCGGACCGTCAAATCTAGCCAACGGCCGTGGTAACTCATCGTTAAAGCCGGGAAACACACACCAAAAGGCGGGCAGTGGATACAATACACTTTTAGGTAGGTATTAACCAATTACATTCTGACATCCACGCGTAGTGAAAGACAACCTCATCTTAGAAACGGAAAAAAGTTTGTTCGCGAGCTTCACTGGTTTAGCCGGTTAGCAGCAGCTGTTAGCAATAACTTTCGTCAGAGATTTTAAAAACGCAGTCCGGAATTTATGTTTTAATATTGAAAAACTGTCAAAGATAGATTATTGTTAGGTCTAACACACGGTTTGTCGGTTGTGTGGGTGATTTAGTTTGCCGTTTGATTCCTCTTCAATAAGGTATTTAATCTTAAATCGTATTTGTGTGATTGACAATTATGCGTCCTTAACTGTTAGTTAAGTTACGCTAGGTTTGTTTGTTTATTACTCGCCTTTATATCTAACGTTATATTTAATATCAACGTCTCCTATATAATGTTGGTTCGCGAAAGTAATGTTGTTTTTATTCTGTATTACACATAAACGTGTTCGTTATTCTTACCTCCTTATTATATATGATATTTGTTATGTACTTTTTGTTCCCTGAAGGCATGTTTCAGCTCTAGTAATCTCTAACAAAGCAGAGAAAATATACTGAGGCCACCGACAACCCTTTAAACGCCTCAGATAGAGATTTTATCTTGAATTTGAATGTGTTGTCAGCTGATCTCTCAGCTGATGCTGCTGGTCTGTCATGTTTTTGTTTTGTTTTTTTAATCTTCACAATGATATTCAGAAGGAAGGCTAATAGCTCCAAAAGGGATTATTTGGAGGCTAATCGATTGCTGTTAATAGCTGTTTTTATTTCAGCGTCAAATTGGAGCTTTTCCAGGTTGATTTGTTTGATTTATAAGGTGGTAGTTTAATAAACATTTCCCAGAGATGGGTTGCGGCTGGAAGGGCATCCATCCGCTGCGTAAAAACTTGCTGGATAAGTTGGCGGTTCATTCCGCTGTGGCGACCCCGGATTAATAAAGGGACTAAGCCGACAAGAAAACGAATTAATAAATGAGTTTAATAAACAAAGAATTTTATATCTGTAAAGTCACCTTTTCTACTGGGTCTCTGTGAAGGAGGTAAAGTTGATTTGCATATTTGTTCAATTTTAAGCACTTGTGACTAGGGCTGGGGGATTTGGCCTAAAATCTCGATTAATTGAACATTTTAATTTGATTATGATTAATGAACGATTATTTTATTTAATTATATAATTGTTTTGCCCTCATAGTTCACTGACAGGTTTTGTACAGTAAATGTGCTCACATATTACAAGTGAGATATTTCTGTATGAAGGGTGCATTACTTGATTTAAAAAAAAAAAAGGAAACACAAACTGTCTACTGTCTATGATTATT